ATATCGCTTTTGGGAACAACAGGTATTTTGTGTTGTCGAAGCCAGTTTTGGGTGTCTCTTGAGTAATGGCATGATACTAGGTCTGGCCAATACTTGATATGGTCATTAGCATGATGTTCGTGGACAATCTGAAGCAGTTTGGAGAAGCGGTTATCAATTTAGCTCTGACTACTCAAAACTTCACCCCTTACTCTTCCCACAAAATGATGGGATACACCCCTGTTAGAAATTGCGCACCAGACAAGGATTTTATCGGCAAATTCCATCGTTTCCCTTCATTTCAGAATTACTCAAAGTGAAATACTTTTCGTCATCTAAAATAATAATTTTTCCATTGACAAAGTGTACCCGCCTCAGTTGACGACAGCATCTTGGTATACGAAGGAGTTGCGCTTGAGAGTATTTGGGGCACTTAAGTCTCTTTCGATATTAAAGACCATTAATCCTCAATTCCAAAGATATCGTACTCTCAGATCTGTATTGATGAGCCAATCTCCTGGGTGACATTCCAGCCTGATTTCTTGCTCTTCTCACCAATGTCTCTGATCTCTGTGCAGTAAATGCACGTGGTCTTCCATTTTTGAGAGATTCAAACATGGGGTGAGGTGAATAAAACCAAGCACTTCATAAGCATTTACTTACGAGAAAATTGTTGCCTTGAGAGGTGAAGCAAATGCTTGGCAACGAGTGAATAATTGTGAGGCATGACTCAGAAAGGTCTACATGTTAATATTGAGGTAATACTTGCGGCGCGTGCAAGTCTTAGTTTGTTTATCCTTCACATATTTAAATTGTCTTATTTGCTTTATAAACCTTACGCGTCGTATAAATGTCTTTAGGTTTCTGTATATTTTTGTTCAACTAAGTTATTTTTAATTCGCACTCAAGAAAGCTCAAGATTACTAACAATTAGGATGTCTTCTAGTGACGAAGAAAGTAAACAACCGAAATTTGTTTCTGATAACCGAGCACAGCTAGTCAGAATCTTGCAGCTAGAAAACAATAAAATAGTACTAAATAAGTCAATGGTACCAAAAATGGTTTCAGCAAAAGAAACCGCCTGGATGATAATTAGAGAGGAATTCATAACATATACTGGGAAAGACGTAACTGTAGATCAGCTGAAAAAACTTCTTAACAATATAAAAAGCACTGTTAAGAAAAAAATTGACTTGTCATCAACAGGAAATAAACCAATCAAGCTACTTCAATGGGAAAAAGATTTTCAAGAAATTTTAAATGCTGAAGAAAATCCTGTATACAGTAAACTACCAGGAGCAATAACTGTTGGGTAGATTCCAGTAATGAATGTGTTTTACTTCCCACACAGTTAAATGTAAGCGAAGCAACAACAGAAACAAGAAAGGGTAATCAGCAGAGACATATTTTACGCAAAGAACATGCTGCAGATATTTCTTCCGTGTCCAGTGGCCACAATTCTAAAAAACAAAAGTTGTTAGCAGCAGAAACAGAAGAAACTGTAGGTTTATCAACTCCTGAACTTCAACGCTTAGTACTATTAGAGCAGCTGAAACTAACTAGACTACAAATTGAAAAAGAGGAACTCCAACTGAAAAACCTACGTCAGCAAGAAAATGAAGCTATTAATACCCAAAAGAATGACGATCCTTTAGTTAATTCGGAACTTAGGTTGCAAGATTTTCTTTTGTTAAAGTAAGTTTTCTAACACATTTATGAATAATTAGAATTTATCTATAATTTTTCATGTATAATATGTATCAGAACATTTGGTACGAGTAGATATAGTGTCGTGTTAATTAGAATAACTCTATTTAAGAGCTACATAATTTTTATTTGATACCTATTACCTGTGATAAATATGTTGGAAACATATTTTGTTATTTAAACTGAATTCAACTGATTTATTATTTGGACTATTTCTAAGCGCTTTTCTTCACCAAGACGTCTAATGTCTCCTTGCTCTTGCTCAACAATTTTTGGGACAGCATCATGATCGTCGTTATTATTTTCTATTAAATAGTCCCAGTCATCTTGCAAATATTTAGCAATATTATGAAGTACAGCACAACATATGATTATTTTCGGCGAGTTCCTTATTGCGAGTCTAACCCTATTTACTAGAATTGGAAAGCGCTGTTTTAATTGGCCAAATACACGTCCTATTACAACTCTTTCTTTTGAATGTAATCTGTTGTACCGCTGTTCTAATTCAGTTTGTGGTTGTCTAAATGGTGTTAAAAGCCATGGAGATATACCACATCCGCTGTCCCCTAGAAAGCAAGCATTCCCTTGGAATCTTGTAAGTTTTTGTTGAACAGCACTTTGTCTCCAAATCCTTCTATCGTACACACTTCCAGGCCATTGCACGTCTATACTTGTGATCCTTTCCATTGCATCACATGTCATCTGAACATTTAATGAAGCAACATTTTTCCTATTTATGTACTCATCGCCAAACTACCCTTCAGGTTTTTTAATCTGTACATGGGTACAATCAAGTGCGCCAATTGCGGTGGGAATCCTGTATTTTGCCATCCAACTTGTCTTTGCTTCGTTTAAATCTCGTTCGGTTGTTGAAAACACTATCCATTGACCTGCCTTCTCCATAATTTTTTGTGCAACATAATCTACAGTCTTACTAACTGTTGTTCTTTCAATACCAAAATCGTTTGCAACACCACTTTGAAAACCAGGGTCACTAATATACCGGAGAAATACTTCAATATATTTTCATGAGGACAGCACCACCTCGAGTTTCGTTGGTTTCTGGTAAGAAATAGTTTGTAATGAAATCGATATTTTCATTTTCAAACCTTAAAAGTCGTTTCGCACTATTTGGACTTATATCTGTTTGATCACGATATTGTTTAACTTTACGTATATTCATAAATGCTGCCATAATTTAGACACTTCAAATTATCAATTGAAAATGAAAGTATACTAAGTGACATATAAATCCGAACACTCAGTTTAAATGGTTTTATTTTAATAAAATTTTGTATAATCACTTAATGAAGCATAATAAGTAAATGATAAAAATTTCAAAATGATTGCACTGCTTTAAACCCCTTTGACCTTTAATAATGTGTGGATGCACCCTGATGTGCTACGGATTCTCCAACGCACCTAGGCATGCTTCTGATCAGGTGGTCAATGTCCTCCTGTGGTATCTCATTCCAGGCAACCACCAACTCCTCTCGAAGTGCTTCTAGAGTCTGAGGAGGACGTTGCAAATTGAGCAATCTCCTACCCATCATATCCCACACGTGCTCAATTGGGGATAAGTTGGGAGATCTTGGTGGCCATGGTAACAATGTGACATCATTATGTTGAAAGAAGTCTATTGTGACTCTTGCAGCATGTGGTCGAGCATTATCTTGTTGGAAAGTTGGATCTGCCAGGGCGTCAAGATAGGGTAAAAGATGGGGTTCTAGAACTTCGTGGATATAACGCTGCACGTTCATGTTACCTCTGATGAAGATTAAAGGTGACCTGGAACCATAAGCTATAGCACCCCAAACCATAACTCCAACAGTGTGATGAACATGTCTTTCAACAAAAAACTGTGGATTCCTCCTTTCACCACGTCGCTTTCTAACCCTGGCACGACCATCGTGCATGCCTAAACAAAATCGAGACTCGTCACTAAAGACAATACTGTTCCATTCCTGATCCCAGAGTGACCGTTGTCTGCACCACTCAAGGCGATTACGTCGGTGTTCTCGAGTTAAAGGGAGGACCCAGTGTGGCCGGTATGAAAACAAGCCAAAACTTCTCATTCGTCGGTAAACACTTCGCATGCCAATAGGTCTTCCGTGTTCTGCAAACCATTCATTTGCAATGGACCTGGTAGTGGAGAAACGGTCCCTTAAGGCCAATAATCTTAGGCGGCGATCTTCACGGTCTGTTGTTCTACGGCGGCGTCCAGTGCCCCTTGCTCTTTGCGTACGGCCTTCTCGAAGCCATGCCTGACAACACCTAACCACAGTGTCTACACTTCTTTGCACTCTAACTGCAATTGCCCGAAAAGAAAGTCCAGCTTCCCGAAGTCCCACTATACGACCCCTATCAAACTCACTAAGTTGACGAAATCGTACAGGTCTCCGTACTCTAGGCATCGTAACCGATCATAAAGGATGTCAAGAACCAAAATCCGCCAACGTTGATGCTTTACTGCGGCTGAAATATTCATTTTTAGAGCGTTTGTGAATTAAAAAAAAAGCAGTATAAAAACCGGAATGTCCAACTGATAAGGCTGAAAATTTTTTCACTTGTTATTTACAGTAAGATAAATACATTCACCAACTTTTATTAAAATGAAACCATTTAAACTGGGTGTTCGGATTTATATGTCACTTAGTATATATACTTAATACGTAAAGTTTTCTATTGCTGTTAGTCACTCCAATCGTACGTGAACACTGAAAATAGTTACTTTAGGAGTAATAACTCAAGATAGCAAGTGTTTGCTTGACAAGTACAAGTAAAAGTTTTATTAATCACTTACTACCAAGAATTTACTTTAAAATTATGAAGTAAAAGCATTTACTCTCTTTTATTCACCTCACCCATGATATTCGCTGCTAACACTCCGCTATTGTTCGATAAATGGTTCTGCGCGAAATGTTTTCCTTCTGGAATATTCGACAGATTTCAGGTTTGGGTACCCGCCCAACCAACTTCTAGATATCTTTTCTTATTTCTAATTTATTTTAAAGCGTAAACTTCAAGATAAATAAATGTTAACTGACGGTATTGTAAGTAAACAAACTCTTGTTTCCAAAGGCAACTTGATATTATTTTGTGTTTGTTAAAATTAAAGCCAATGAATTTTATGCAAAAGCTTTCAGGACATACGTTATATCAAGTATATCTCAACTCCAAGTTTTCGTAATTATCTAACGCCAACTTTCAGAGTAACCGATCCTTTAGTTGTTCGTTAAAATGTTTCTGAAATTTTTGGACCTCACACAACGAATATTATTATTCATACATTTTCTAGTTTACTATTTTTGTAGCAACCATTGTTCAGTATCCAGTAACGATGAACCAGCTCAGAATGGAAGGTTTCATAGCCCACAGATGGTTGGACCGTTGGTTTGAAGGAATACAACAGAATATGAAGTGGATCGAAGAAGGAAAATTGAAATACAGGGAAACTGTCACACACGGCTTTGAAAATATGTATTCTGCTTTTGCTGATATGCTCAGAGGGGGGAATACTGGGAAAGCTATTGTAAAAGTGTAAGCAAAAAACATATTTTTTGTCTACCAGCATGCGGAGAGTACTCATTTTAACACGCATCTGCGTGTAACAGGCAACACCTTTCCGCACGCATAACTTTTCCGCGCAAATTTTCATAATTCAAATAACTGTACCTTTACTTTTAATATTGTTAGTAACTATTATAAATGAAATATTGATGTTGTCGTTGTTGATGATATGTTGATTTCACAATTATTAAATTTTTCATAAAATTTTGGGTTTATTATTTTCTCGCGCTGCGCTGTTACAAAAAATATTATACCTAATACTTGCGGACAGTGTATTTTTTACCCCTCGTGTGCGAAAAAGTATCACTTTCCGCACTTGTTAGAGAAATAACTATTCAATGTTTCTCTTCGTAATAAAAAAATCTACTAAAGCGCAATGTCATATTTACAAATTTTTAAGTTTCTGTTTTGAACATAACTCCAGATTGATTTAAAATTCCAATATATCTTACATTAATCACCAGAACAACAGTTTTCGCGAGCAAACTTGGAGAGCAGGCTTGGTGAAAACACTCACACGTCCTAAGAGCCTACTAGTAAAGTTGGAATATTTTTGGTGCTCACCTAGTACTCTGAAAAAAACCCCGTTGAATCAGATTTCTCGTAGAGAAGTAAAACATACCATTTTCGATAAGTTCATGATTAAGGTCTTGTCTTCTTGGTCTGTTGAGAGTATCGAAATTCAACGGTAGCAGTTCATGATATTTTTCAATCCATCTTAACTTGTACGATCTATGAATTCGGAAAGAAAAAAAAATATTTCATAAATGTAAACTCACGCTATACTGTAAAAGTCGATATACAAACATAAGACAGATTTAAGCGAAACTGTCGGTATTTATCTATATTGGTTCGAATTGAGATACGCATACCCTCTAATTTCTTCCATTTGACTCACAACATTAATATTATTACGATCGGGGATCGATAATCCGTGCTGCTTTTGGTCAAATTTGCCATCCCAGTGGACAGTTACAGTATCCAGTACCTCTTTTTTTTTTTTTTTTTTTTTTTTTTTTTTTTTTTTTTTAACGAGGGGGGAATGCATTTACGCACCATACCATAGCACGAGCTACGACGTGTGTGGGGCTCCAGGGTCTTGAGGAGATCACCTAATACCCACTAAACCCTAAACCTCCGCGTGGCCCGACTCATCAGCGTCTCGGTAGGCCATGTGTTGTGCGTGACCTGCGGTCTGCTACAACGTCTCCTCATGTGTTTCAGTCTCTGGGAACGCCGGGTTGGTTCCCTTTACCTCGCACATTCTATCGATATCGTTAAGCGATCATCGATAGAGGGTCTGCTAGTTTCTCTTGAAACTCTTGTTTTCGAAAAATCAAGAGTTTCAAGTCCTCTTACCAATATGTTGTTCCTAGTCCTGGTCCTGAAGGGTCCTGGTCCTGGTGGGTCCTGGTCGTGGCGGGTCCTGGTCCTGGTTGGTCCTGGTCCCGGTGGGTCCTGGTCCCGGTGGTTCCTGGTCCTCTGCATCCACGCCGTGGGGTGGGGGGGGGGGAGCAGCCGCAAGTTCTCCTAGTCTCCTAGTCAAGGTTCCAGTTAGCGGGTGCCAACTGGGACCTCGGTCTGGGGCACCTGGTTCTGCGGTTGCGAGGCCTCTCGTCCGGATCGTAGTCCATGAGGAATCGTAGCTGCTCGTTCGGGTGGTCCTGAGCTTTCTCGAAGGTCTTCTCCGCTTTTTTCCTCATGTACTCGTGGATGGTATCCCAATGCAGGTCTCTACGCAAGGTTGAGTTCCTTACGTAGGAAGGTGCATTGGTGGCGATCCGGAGTAGCTTCATCTCTAGAGCAGCAAGTCGCTTGCGGTAGCTGGGGGCAGCGTACCCCCAGACCGCGGAGGCGTAAGCAAGCTGAGGTCTGGCGATGGCCTTGATCAGCCGTAGCTTGGTCGCTAGCGGCATCTGGCTGTGTCTACCCAGTAATGGATAGAGTTGAGCCATGGCTGCTCTGGTTTTTGCGATGACAGCTTCTATGTGCGCTTTCCAGGTGAGGGACTTGTCAAAAACGATCCCCAGATATTTGACATTGTCGCTCCACTGGATATCTTCATCGAAGATGGATGCTTCGAGAGGTCTTGCAATCCTTCTTCGTTGAATGAAGATTGCCTGCGTCTTCTGGACGTTGATGCGGATTTTCCATTTCACGCATCAGTCCTGAATTTGGTCCAGTTCATCCTGTAGTCTCCTACGGATGATCTCGGGTCGTCTATGCTTGGCGGCTATAGCAGTGTCGTCTGCATATAGGGCCAGCATTGTGTCAGCTGTCTTCGGCACATCGTAAGTATAGATGTTGTAGAGCAGGGGGGCTAAGGCTGACCCCTGGGGCACGCCTGCTTCCAGCTGTCGTCTTGTTGAATGGCATGTACCAATCTTCACCGTGAACCATCTTTGTGTTAGATAGCTCTGGATCAGTTGGCACATGTTCGCATCGATTCCGGCGGCTTCCATTTTGGCGATGAGTCCATCGTGCCAAACTCGGTCGAAGGCTCGTTCCACGTCCAGCAGGACGAGACCGGTTGCCTCCTGGAGATTGAAGCCGCTGGTGATGTTTTCCGTCAGTCGTAGCGCTTGGAGTTCCGTGTTGTGCGAGGATCTGAAGCCGAATTGCTCTGGGGGGAGAAGTTGCAGTTCTTCTGCCTGCTTCTCTAGTCGAACGGCGATAGCCTTTTCGACTACTTTGCCCACCGAGGAAACCAGACTGATGGGCCGGTAGTTCTGGGGCAACTTCCGGTCCTTGCCTGGCTTGGTGAGCATTATAACCTGTGCTTCCCGCCACCGCCGCGGGAAGTGGTTAAGTCTCCGAGTGGCATTGGCGATGTTGGTGAGCGCAGCAATGCCTTTGGTGGGAAGGTTCTTCAGCATCCTATTGTTGATGCCGTTCCTTCCCGGCGCCTTTCTGACCTTCAACCTGCGGATGATCAGACGGATTTCCTCTGGACTGGGGGGGTGATCCGTCTCCTGGCCAGGTGGTCGACTCCTCATGTTTTCGGCTGCGACTTCCACGGCCTCCTCGTGGTTGTCGTCCTCGTCTTCATGGTAATTGAGTCTGCATTCGGATTCTAGCGAATCGGCGAATGCTTCGGCTTTTTCTTCACTGGAGTAGGCCAAGCCGCGTTGGCCGTGAAGAGTGGGGATCGTGGTGCGCTGACGACGAAATTTTCGCTGCATAGACCAGGCCGTACCATCCTGGGTCTCTAGTTCTGCACAGGCTGCATTCCATCTGCTGTTTTGGAGTTCCGCGAGTGCGTTCTTCAGAGCTAACGATGCTCTGTTTCGCGCAACTCTCGACTCCTCTGTCAACAGCTGGAGATGTTCTCGCTTGAGTCTTCTGTTCTCCCTGATCAGGTGCCTAATATGGTGCGGTGCTGGACCATTTAGGTGTCTAGGAACTGCCGTAGTCTCGGAGCGGGTGCTGTCCTCGTGCGCTCGCAGGACAGCATTCTCCAGCTCCTCTACTGCGTTGTCCAGTTCCTCCGCTGATCGGATGATTGGAATTTGAGTGATGTTCCTTTGGACGTTGGATTTGTACAGGTTCCAGTTCGTCCGTTTGGTGCTCAAGCTATCTCGAGTTCTAGACCCTGTGCCAAGTGTTAGTAGAATCGGATTGTGGTCCGACGATCCTTCCACCAGGGTCTCTATCTCGAGCTGCTCTCTGATGTTGCGGAGGATGGCTATGTCCAGTACCGCAGGTCGCCCAAGTCCGAATGGAATGTAGGTTGGTTGCTCCGGACCGACGATGACCCCCGCCAGGGCATCGACGTGTTCCTGGAGCTGCCTTGCATTCCTGTCTTCGACGTTGTTGTTCCATGCCGGAGACTTGCAGTTTAGATCTCCGATGACTATGCGTGCTCCTGGGCCTCTCAGGAGGTCAGCGATGTCATCTTCGTCTAGGGCCTAGCAAGAGTTTCCAACTAGAAGGGCGTACCTCCCAAGGGGGACATAGAGAGATGTCAAAGGGGGGCGGAAAGCGTTTGCATTTTAGAAAGAAAAAACAGCAAAAATAAACAAACAACATTAACAAATGACATTACAGTGTAATGTTTAATATAAAATTATACAACTATTATATATATTATACAAGTTTCGACAAGTTACAACATGGAATCCGCGCGAACCCCCGCCGCGATCCGCTTAACATTCATCACTTAGAAAACAATTGTGTACCTACCAGACATCTGTGACATTCATTCCCACAAACTTGCGAAAAAAATTGTCGTTCCGATGTACATTTTTTGTTGAGAAATCTGTGTGAGTGTGTCAAATTATTGCGTCTCACTGTTGAAAGCTAAGTTTGTGTATTTACAAACTTCAGTTACCATTTTGATTCAATTTACTAAATTGTTGATTGAGTGGAGACGCGTTCATAGATCGGCCATTGGGACTTTTTTACCACATCACAATCAAACCAACGTCGAGAAATAATTTTGAAACGACGAACTTTAAGTACCTAATATAATATTCGTTCCAAATATATTTAAAATTACTATTATAATGTCAACCTGCCTACAAAAATATAGATCTCCCGGTGGCCAATGTACTGTTGAATACATTACGTTATTAAGATAAAATAATGGGGATATAATTAGTAATTACATGTAGGTATTTTGCTTATATATTTATTACTTATTTGTTTTATTGTTATAGATGCAAAATGGCAGCGAAAAAAGAAACTTTTCTGAAGATTACGTTAAGTTTGGATTTACCTTCATAGAAAAAGACGAGTTACAATTGCCTCAGTGTGTGATATGTATGAAAGTTTTAAGTAATGATAGCATGAGGCCCAATCGCCTTGAAAGGGATTTGAAGCAACAGCATCCTACTCTGGTTTTGAAGACGAAAGAGTTTTTTTCTTCTAAAGCAGAATCACTATTAGTCTAATCATATTATCTGAAAATACCCCTGGTTCGCGAAATAATTGAAAGTTTGGTTCTATTGCTGCAAGTTGTTGAAGAGGGTATCCAAAACATCGACGCATAAAATCGATACACTAATTCCTGTGGGAAAACTTTTGATTCGACAACAAAGAATGAGAAAACGTGTTTTTTGCGATTCAATCGCCATTTTTTGCCATTAATTGCGATGAATCCACCGACATCGTTAATTGTGGACAGTTAATATACTAAGTGACATATAAATCCGAACACCCAGTTTAAATGGTTTTATTTTAATAAAATTTTGTATAAGTACTTA